ATTAGTGGAGTTTCATTGTGCGGCCCAATGACAAGTTTATTAATCTATATGTTTTCTACCCATCAAATAATGTTCTTTTATCTATGCGAGCACACTGTTGCTGAGATTGTGATATGCATCACACTTAATAAAATAAAGCCCAACTCTACACAACACATTGTTGTTTCAGATTTTGGTAGAGAAGGAAATGATTCATATCTCTGGCAACATTTTATTACTGTATATGCTCTTGTTTAGGATATGTCTTCTCACTTTCTGTATATGTCAGAAAAAGAAGTGAGGGAAAATCTTCTTTATTTTTGATGGGTATCAGAAACGGAAGTGAGAGATAGATATATACGACAAATGCAGCTACCAGATCTAGGAATTGATAATCTGCAAAATTTGACATTTTTGTTTTTGGGGTCAGATACACTTTAAAGCGGACCGTTCACCTCAGTGACACGGTTTGGAATAAAATATGCCTCACTCCAACTAAACCTAAGCAACACAATTTCTCCTTTTTTTTGGGTGACGGATTCCTTTCATTTATTTTTATTTCTTTGCATGTAATTTTTAATAAATTTTTTTTCAACAATACAGACAGCATCTCATAGTGTTACCCGTACGCTCAAAATCGAAAAGGTAGTTATTGGTATTATATGGATAACCAACAAGAAATGTTGGAACTGAGGAACAGAGAGAATAGATGGTTGGAAAGAGAAGTGATTAGTAGCGTTATAATGATAAGGTCTAGAGCAGTGGTTCTCAACCTGTATAACCTCAGGACCCACATTTGTGCTTGGCCGTTAAGTCGTGACCAAAGTCGCACTGCAATGGAATGTGTGGCATTTGGGTGCAGGCGATCGGACTGTGGGTGGGAGGTTAGTTTGGGGTGTCATTCAAATTAATCGCAACGCGCCGTCCACGTCAGGACATGCAGTAAGTGCAATTGCCTGGTACAGTGCATTGATCGCATGGGACTGTGTGATTAACGCACTGTACTAGTGTGAACGGACCCTCAAAAACACTGACAGACACACACACAACCACATCACTTTCCCACACTCGCATACATTCTCACACACACACACATACACACATACACACTCCCCAAAAAATATAATTTTCTTTTTTTTTAAGATCCACGCAGTCTCCCTACCATATGAGCACTGGAATGGATCATCAGTCTGGTGTCCAGTGTGGGCTGCTGTGAGGTAATGGATCCATTTGTGCATTGCTTGTACAGCTCCCTTTTCTTGCCCTGTAGAGGTGCCAGGAGCCAGAAGGTGACATCAGTCCAGTCCAGGCACCTCTACAGGGTACATGTGGGAGCTGTAAGCAATGCACGTATAGATGGAGCTCTCGTATGGCCATACTTCCTGTCCACCCCACCTCAAGCTGACATGCAGGGCCATATTTTGAATGGCTGCTTGGCACAAGAAATGATGGTGCTGCGCTAGGCGGAGGCTGGCATGCCTTCCTTCTAGGTGCTGCACCTAGAAGGAAGGCATGCCACTGAACATGGGGTCACAACCCACTTTTGGTTCATGACCCACCAGTTGGGCTGGGTGTATGGCCACGAGGGAGCTCCATGAATACATGCATTGCTTACAGCTCCCTCATGGGTCCTGTAGAAGTGCCTGGACCGGAGTGACGTCACATTCTGGCTCCCAGCACCTCTACAGGGTACGCAAGGAAGCTGTACAAGCAATGCACATATGGATGGAGCCCCAGCACAGCACAGCAGCCCACACTGGACCCCAAGCTGAGGATCCACTCCAGTTCTCATAAGGAAGGGACACTAACATTTTGGTGTGTGTGTTTCAAAAATGTCTGTGTGTAAGATTGTGTCTCTGGTTGTGTATGTATGTCAGTGTTTTTGAGGGCTCTTTCACACTAGTACCATGCAATTAACACATGGTACCATGCAATCTCACCTACTGTGCATTCTAGTATGGGAGGTGTGTTGCGTTGGCATTCATTTGAAGGGTACTCCAAACACACCTCCCACCCACAGTTCGCACACCCACATCGGAACGCCCAGTACCCAATGGCGTGCATTCCATTGCGATTTGGGTCGCAACTTAATGACCAAGGACAAATGTGGGTCCTGAGGTAACAGAGGTTGAGAACCACTGGTCTAGAGGATAGTAAACTAAAAGGTAAGGTCTGCATGGTTGCTTAATGTATAAACGAAGTCGAATAATTGTCAGAGTCAATGGGCCTAAGGTAGGACAAAGATATGGATGTCAAGGATCTTCAAGGATGGCAAATGTCATAGCATATGATGAGTTGGGTGAACATATGAGTGTCTAATAGGGAAATATGGGGTGAACCTAAGCGTAAGAATGATAATACATCTAGGTACATCTAGGGAGCCATCAAGTTTGGCCTTTATTGTAGCAGATTCCTTTTATTAGTAGTTTTTTTCCTGATGATTTTGATTGCCCGGATGTTTTAATAGATGTTTACTAAGGGCGTATTGTACAAAAAAGTTGGAACAATCACACTTCAGAGATAAATTAAATAAAAGTTAGATAGTGCCCAGATCCTGGGGGTCTTATTAGTGTTGCCCGCCTGTGGTCGGTGGCTATTTTTGGTTAGGGGACTTGGTTGTCTACTTTTCAGTACCCGACTGTGGAGAAAGCCTGTTTTGCTTCTTGGGTTCTACTTGTTTTATGTTCTGCACTCTTTAATATATTTTTAATAAAAACTAATATTCTTATCTACGGTAAATAAAAAAGGAGCCCAGAGACGTAAATATTATTTCACACATAACAGAAGTCTGCAGTGCCTGATTGGGAACATTTTGCTCTTGTCAGAATCCTTTGCTGGGAGTGAAATGTCAGGATTAGACAAATGAAAGTGAGATGTTAAGCCTGGTTGGTTTTAATAAGTTGTGTTGTAGATGTAATTTGTGATGGCACTTTTTCAATAATGCTGACAAATATGCCACTACCATATGGAAATATGGAGGCTTCTCGACATCTGCTGCTTTTAGAATCTTTAATTATTTAGGAAACAAGTGAATACATACACAGCTTTCAGAAGTAGACTAATGCGCTCCTATAGCAGGCAAGCTTACTGAATGACAGGATAAAAGACAAACTGTCTGTCTGTAATTTATTTTTTGTGTAATAGACTTTAAGATTAATAAGAACAAAACAAAAGAATCTGCTGCCTTTGATTACCGCCATACCACCATCACTCAGCCCTTCACCTTCATAGATATAACAGGGCTACTAGCCAGGCCTTAAGAGTTACTAGCCACCAGTTGCCCCACCTAACCCTTAACCTGCCCCGGCCTTAACTCCGCCCCTAAACACACCCTCTTAAATAATCTTATGATAGTTTCCGCTTGTAAACGGCAGATTAGGGATTCCTGCTGCAGGAAAACGCAAGTTCCTGACGCAGGAATCCCTAATCACACCTGAAATATACTGTAGGTGTGAATGGGGCCTAATATACACATACACTAAAGGTGCCCATACACCTGCCGATTATCGTATGATAGTTGTGGGTGATCCTGCGATCGTACGATAATCGGCAGCTGTATGGGCAGCGTGCGACGGCTTCTACTGTAAGGTCGCACGTCTTTCGTCTTCCGAGCACGCTGGAAAGCCTTCCGAAAATCGTAAGTTTTTTAGCGGGTTGGTGGCGTGGTCGGAAGACGAATGCCGCATTGCCCGCTCAGCACTGCAATCATCAGATTGTCTAATGATTTCAGGACAGTGGTGGAGCACCAGAGCCAGGTCCCAGCTGCAACCGCTGCAACCTTTGTAGTTCTCATGAAAATGCCAAGTATCGGCACTGAATCTGAACATCCCTAGTGCCTAGGCCTTATACACCAAACCCATACTACATTATCTATTTCTACATGTGTATACCACAATCTAAACATCTATTTCATTTTCATTTCACAGTGCAGCTTTACTTCTATGTTTAAATCAAAGCTTGAAAGAGCAGATAATATCATACATATAACATGCCAGGTAAAGCATGGCTAGCTAAACCCAAAAACAAAAATGTAATATATTGTAGCTTACCAGTCCTTAGATATCATGGCTAAGTCCATTTATTTTTCAGTACTGAAAATATCTGTTCATCTTGCAAGAAATGCTGTTTTCTTGTCACTTCCGATTAGATGAACTGTAAGCATTAAAGTATCTTATCTTCTCTTCCCTATCCCCCATGTAATGAAGATGAACATAAGCAGACAGGTTTGAAGTCCAGCCTGGATGCAACCATGACTCCCTCCATACATACAGTAGAGGAGTGAGAGTAGTCACCCAGGGGCAGGAAGTGTGTTATTCGTAAGATTACTTGGTACAAATAAAGGAAAATAATAGCCTGAAAGAGAAAACAAATTCAGCTACCACATCTAAGAACTGGTAAGCTGCAATATATTGTTTTTGGGTTTAGATACACTTTCACAGTTATTGACATTGATGGCTCCATGCAAGTGATGCAAAGGAAAGAATTCAGCAAATCTTGACTGTTCTGGAATTCAGCAGGGCATTTCCAAGGGAAGAATGTCATCGGAGAGAACAAAGTCACATTGACCAGAGATGGTCTGGTCTTCTCCAGGAGATCCGTGTTTCTTTCTAGATTAGAGGCTACAGAGAAAAAAAAAATGTTCTGATGCTTGGCATGTATAAAATCCTCAATATGTCATTGGAGTGTAGTGAAAGGATCCAACAAGTTGTGTGTTTAAAGAAATTCCACAACCAGATATGTTGTGACTTTTCAGAGGTCTTGGAGCCTTATACAAGACCACAATAAATAAATGAAAGTACATTCCATGATATCTTTAATGGTTTATTAGTTACTACACAAAGGAACAAAAAGAACACAACTTCATGTTTCTACACAAATGTGTAATAAAAAGAGGGGTGATAGGAGGACCACTCCATGTAACCTCACAGAAGGTGGAGCTCTCTGGTCAAATTTAAAGTGTGAGGATAAAACTTGACAAATACTTCACAGAAGAAACGTAATATATGTCTTTCTTTTTGCAGAATATTTTCACAAATCATTCCCTGGATGTAAATGTGAGATGGTTGGCTGTCCTATATTTTAAGAATGGGATTGAGCGCTACTGGAGGAGGGTGGCACCAAAGTAAGTCTTTAGCTATTTTCTCATTACCTCCATAGTAGTAGCATTGCTTATGCTGATGGCAGTTATAAACGGTTGTGTACTGTTAATTTATTTTAGTGACACATTTATTGTAAATATGACTTTAACCGCTAAATACGCAGATGTAAAACATATATAAGAACTGTATTACCTGCCAGATGATTTATATTTCTGTCCATCCAGTTCTGACATTTACACAGCACAGGGGACCTGATATTTCTCTGCTGCAGTTTAACTTACAGGTCCTCTTTCCTCCACCACCTTGTGACTGATCAGTGAATGAGAAGAAACACGCTGAAGAGCTTGCCTCTCTGTCCTTGTGCTTTCTTTGTCTATCAGCATTCTCCATTCACTGTAAAACAACGAAAGAAGGAGCGCTACAACCCTGGAATACTGGATGTTTAACAGTTAAACAGTTAAAAGATTTAGTGTAACTATTAATGCACACTCACTTTTGGACGGACGAGGTGGTATCTTGCCGTTAGTTGTCAGCACGGCTCGCAGGGCGGAATCTGTGGCTGGTCCATACTGTCCACACCTGTAGTGCGCTCGCCACTCCCATTGTTTTTATTTCCATTCACTGTAGCACACCTGATTGGCTTCTTATGCCGCTTCTCCTCCCATCCTCTGAGCTCTGCTGTACAGATTGTGCGGTAGTCTGCAAGAGGCTAATACTGAACTTTATTAGTTAGGGGTGCACCGAAATTGCAGCTGCTGAAAATGGTACTTTGGGCAAAATGCCAAAAGTACCATAATAGCTGAAAATACGGCTGAAAATCCAGTGCATCCCTAATTTCTCTCCTCCCCGCTGGATGCCAGACTGTGTCCCCTCCAATGCCCTCTGCTCTCTTCTGCCTGTGTCGATAGAGGCAGCTCGGATTCGGATTCAAGGGGACAGCGGGGAGGAGAGAAGCTTTCAGGATGCCGAGTGGATCGGTGCGGGAGGAGAGAGCTACCAGCTGTCACAGGAGGCTGAGCTCCCCTCCCACACTGCCTCGCTCAGGCATCCTGTGACAGCGAGTCAAGATGGAGAGCAGGTTACAAGCACTCAGCGATCAGCTAATCCCTGAGTGTTTTGTAAAGTCTGATGACATAGTATGCTTACTGTGTCCCCAATTATGAATGAACAGGATGTGCTCTAACTCCTACTATATCCACAGTTTATGAACGGACAGGAGCACTCAGTATAGAGGATTCCTGTTCACTGATAACAGGGGCTGCAGAAAAAGAGATGTTTCTATTTTAAAAGGGAAGTATCAGGGGTCTGTTCAAACCCCTTGCATACAGCATGATACTGTAGTTATACGAATGTGCTCTGAAGTTACATTCACATAACAAACACAGACAGACTAATCCACACAGTACACACATGCCACTCTTAGCACAATGCATATGGTTATGCAGAACAGCTCAGGGTAATTTGTTCTTCTCTATGATAGGTTTTTATGTCATCAGATGGGTTTCCAGTGTTGTGTTTCTCATTAAACTTAATACAGGCTGTAGACACATGGTTATACATGTCTTACAGTACTGTGGCTTTAGGTGGGATGATAAATGTGGTTATAAACATTCAGTGCTCCCGTGTACTAAGGCCTTTAGTCATGAAAAGGCACACTGTCCTCCGCCAAGTTCTTGATCCAGTTCATTTCTTTTCTGGGTGTGTTCTTCCAAGTGTGCACTTGAGACTTCTGGTTTGGTTTCAGAAGACAGCAATGGTCCTGAGGATATTTGCAGAAGCCCAACTGTGTGTTTTCCTGGCATGTGATTACTGTGACAGCCAATAAAAATGGTCACATTGGAAAAAATCTCTTTCAGTGAGACTTCCCTGTGTTTACCCCGTTCCCCATTCTTTCTTGATCAGTTTTGTCTGTGGTAAAGCAATGTTTTAATTGTATTACCATTGTATTACTTCATTTGTATTACCAGGTAACAAAAATGAACTGTGGCACATTTTTAAAATATATTTAAGGCTGAGTTTAACACTAAAGTATTAAAAAAAATCATTATTTTCTATAAATACCTTAAAGAAGTGACTTTTGCTGTTGATCTTACATGTTCATATAACTGAAAGGCTCAGCGGCTAATGTGTGGGCAGCCGATAGAAACCTATGTAGCTCACCAGTGCTGGTTAAGTACTTCCCTTAGATGGCTTGGTAATAGCGATGTAAACACAATGGGTCCACTGAGTTTCTGCTTTTTCTTTTTAATTGTAAGCGTTGAAGTGCAAAGGGGAGCTTTGGAGCATTTTTATGATAATTTCAGCTCCATTTTACAGGGGAACTCCATAAATTATATCTGGATAGGGCAGCGGGAAGTGTGTGTAATGTGTTAATTACCTCTGGGCTTTGCTTTCTGAGATTCACCTCTCTGTGACCATAGCCCAAGGATACCATATGTTCAGTGATTCTGGTAGGTGTGCACTTTTTTTTAAATCCAGTCCCTGCTATTTTCTTAGTAGAATTAGTTCCTGCAAATTATGCCCCTTTAGACTTCTTTTGCTGTAACTAATTCCATTGCAATGATTGTAGGGACCAGAAGTGGAAAGCCCATGGACCGGTACCATTGAGCTAAGAGTATTGCTGCATTCCAGTCACAGCATTTGGAGAGCTGTATCTCAGGAACAACAGCAAGGTGGTCATTAACACATTACACTTACCTCCCGCTGTCCTTTCCAAAGACAATTCATAGATCTCTCTTTTAAGGGTTACGTTTAGTAAGTTATTGTTTTGTTGCCTTTGTTAGATTAAGTGTGATTAAGCGACAAGATTTGAAAGTAAGCAACAAAGGCTGTTTGTCTCAAACTTTTTGTGCCAAATGTTTGGACATAGGGCACAAACATGCAGAAGATGAAAGCTAATGTAGCAGGGATAATGTGCTAATCAGAGGATGAATGATGTGGTTGGATAAATAAGCCTCAGGTGATAAGGGGGTTGTGTTAGGTTAAGGGGGGAACAGAGGCAAGTGAACAGACACAGAGGATGACAAAGAATAGGGCCTTGTTTCATTTAATATATACACCCTGATTGATTGATGTGGCAAATCGTCTAGTGTTCTTGGCATTAGTCTTGTATATCAGCTCACAGATTGCATATGTGAGCAATATAGAATCAGGGTTCCTCAGCAGTAGAACATAGCTCATAGGATGTCTGTGACTGGTTATTTTACATTGTCCTTTGAAGAAAACTTCAGGTGAAGAAGCCACCTTGTAAATAGCAGTAGTTTTAGTAGTTCAAAAGGCTAATTCATTTTGGAGTACTTGTATTATTTTAGAATCGGCGTGTTCTTCCAGGGCAGGATTTATTGCACAACATATGTGTCTGCTACCTCATTGTAAAGTCCATGACCAGCTCTGTGTATTGACCACTAAGGGAAAGATGGGGATGCACATGGTGTGGAATATGGTTAACTCTCAAAATAGACTCACAGGTACATATGAATGTCGTCTAGTATCCACAACTTTTTATAAAAAATGCTACAGGGGTGGACAATTTAATATTGAGTTCAGGAGCCAATATGTCCAATCCAGGATCCAGCAGGATTTTTGTGTACAAACCAGTTCTCATTGACAAAAACAAGAGAAAACTTCAAACGCTAGGTGCCAACTATAATTTTTAAGGAGAAATAAAGGAACCAGGGAGTTCTGAAGGAGATTCCACTAGTGTTCAGAACACTAGCCAAATCTCCTTTGGACCTCCCTGGTGTAAAATGGACAATCAATCCAGCTGCGGGAGCTCTTTGCAAGTGCTGACAACATGTGCAGTGATGGGGGTCAAGACTACGGAATACCACATTTTAGTTCTTTTGGTTCTCCTTAAAAATTACAGCTGTCACCTAACGTTTGAAGTTTTCTGTGTTCTGAATCGTGCACCCCACTTATAGGCCTAACCTTCCACTGCTGCAGGATCAATCCTGACAGATTGATGTGCACACTAGAAAAGCCTGCAGAGATAAATAGTAGTGTCCCATTTAAGGGCTTGGTTGTGTGGATTCTCACATTTTCTGCTATTCTGCTGCAGCAGGACACAGCTAGGCAAGTGTGAATGTCAACCTCCAACATCTGATGGAATGTCCATATGATATTGTTGTGGGCTGTGGGGGCCATTTGCATGTTTGTTTGTTTGTTTGAACTGTTTGGCTTTTTAAAATTTTCTATGTACTTCTTTCTCACTTATTCATGCCGACTTGTTTTAGTATGTGTTACCATAAAGACCAAAGCCTGTCCTCATTTTCATTGTCTCATACATAATGCAGGTAATGACTTATTTATCAGTGGGAAATCTAATTCTTGTAAATGTTTAAATGATCGATTTGAGGACATGCCAGCGAATAATGATGTATAAATTGCTTTAGCATTAAGTTCATCATTTAAGCTTCCGTATTCAGAAGGTTCTGCTGGCTGGTTAGTGCCTGGGCAGGTCAGAGTAGATCAGCAGCAATGCAGATGATTGTTTTCTGTGCTCTGCCATTTCCTGGGTCACACATGGTTAGACTGCATTTTATGTACTCTCATCCTTTCTATGCAAGCAATATAGGAGCTACCCCCACACTGCAAGGGTTAAGTGCTCACTTTTGTCTAGGTGCTAAAATAAAAATAGTAGAGCTGCAGCTAACGATTATTTTCAGAATCGATTAGTTAGTCGATTTATTAAGTTCGATTTAATCGGTTTAACAAAATTAAAAAATAAAATACATTTTAAAAAATGGCTCCAGTGGTGGGACTACTAGTTTGTATTGAGATTGCAGTCCATCACAGGAGCAAGCTTGGAGCGGTGGAAGTAAAAAAGAAAAAAAAAAAGTGTGGTGTGCAATATAGGGAAATGAAAAGTGTAAAATTATACAGCAATGAATGCAGTATGGCACCGGCTATAGAGGACTACAAATCCCAGCAATAGTACTTTATAGCTGGCGGTATTCTGCATTGCGCTGTATAATGTACTATTGCGAGTGGTATTCGGCATTGCACCACTGTATAATGTATTATT